CAAATATCATCCACATCACACTTTAGGATGACATGAACTAAATCACCTCATACGATTAAAGTCGAACATTTGAATTGCCTTCGAATTCTACCAACAATATAATTCAGTTAACCACAGGTCAGATATGACAGTTTACGCCTCATGTTCCCGAACACAGGAATTCCTGACTGAACTCGTACCTCTCCGTGGTCAGGTATAGCGTGCGTTTTCCTGCGTCAAGTGAAATAAGATGGATTGCAAAATTCAATTTACTAGCCTAACTTTATAGCTTCTCAACATAAATTTCCGAATTATTATCGACTTTCCATGTTCTGTATGTGATTTAGCTCGCATATTCCAAAAATACTCATAGTGTCATATACTCACAATCAGCTATATTATGTGTTCACTCAAAATATCACTATTATAATCTCCATCGCCACTGAGGTGAATGGAAATGATTACTGTTTAAATATAGTGGCATAAAAAATCATCATAATAAGCAGTGAACAATATCGATGAATAAACTAATCAACGACCTCATCACATTAGAAAACAAATAAGCAGTCATTCAATGATTACATAATAGTAATTAATTAATTAAATTGTTAGTAAATATTTCCCAATTATGAAACAAAATATGAAATGACTAATAGCATTGCGCAAAAATGTTGATTTGAGAAGGATAAGGTTGAGGGAATTGAATAGAAAACAATAGGCTGAGAGTGACCGTAGAACGTATGTCGAAATGCATTCCCCTCTGAGCTGGGATGACCATGCTTGTTCAGAAATAAACGGAGTGAGTGCAAGATGGCATGTATCCGTGTCCGCATCTATCTTGATATGTATGGATATCGCAGAAATGTTATACTATATTCATCATTTTGTGATTTTGCTCTGCCTTCTTATTCTATGTTGAAGATGTTTTTGCACTAATTCCATTCAATCTATTTTAGTCATACACTAAACGATATTCCTCATTCCTTTACGTGTTTATTCATGTAATCCTCATCATTCGTCCCAAATCTTCACCGAAACATAAACAGTTTCCGCTTGAGCTTAGTGAAGGCAAACACTATATACAATTGTCATAATACTGAATCGAGCCCGTCATTATGAAATATTATATCAACATCAATAATAATAATAGCAATGATAATAACACAACATTTTCCCACAGCAAATTATTCTTCATCACGATTATAGTTGTTGCTGTTGTAATTCAATAGCCTAACAATCGCAACGCCCATTCTAGATTGCGTTAACATGTATTTTCACCACATAATCCCCCACTGCTAATGTTATCAATTTCGCTCTCTTACGATCAATTTTACAACATCAATTATTTCGATACCATGTATATCGCCAAACAAGGCATGACCTTAATTAAACTGACTTAGAGAAGAATTGCGATTCTACTGTATGTAATATATAGTTTTCTCAATGATTTCCCTCAGACACCAACGAATCTGTAACGATAGAGGCGTTTAATGCCAACGGAACTAATGACAAAAACAATAAAGCAGTTATTAAAAAAAGCAAAAATTCATTTGAAAAACGGAGATGAATCGCAAATTAAACGAACGTTTCAAGGAAAGGAACTGCAGATCGAAGAATTTTCGCGATTTGTTCCACGGGTGTGTTCGCCAACTTCGCAATCGTGCAGATTTGTGCTCGA